AATGAAAATAAAAAGACAAAAGTCCAGACCCTTTGGGATGCAGCAAATGTGATCCTAAGAGGAAAATACATTGCAATTCAGGCCTATCTCAAGAAAGTAAGAAAGGTTCCAAATACACAACCTAACTTTATACCTAAAGAAGCTAGAAAATGAGCAGCAAATAAGCCAGTAGAAGAAGGGAAATAATAAAGATTAAAGCAGAAATAAATGATATAGAATCCAAAAACTAACAAACAAACCAATAGAACAGACCAATGAATCTAAGAGCTGGTTTTTTGAAAGAATAAACAAAATTGATAAACCCCAGGCCACACTTCTCAAAAAGAAAAAAAGGGAGGACCAAAATAGATAAAATCATAAATGAAAGAGGAGAGATCACAACAATGACCATACAAATACAAACAGTTACAAGAGAATACTATGAAAAATTATATGCCAACAAACTGGACAATCTGGAAAAAATGGACAAATTCCTAGACACTCACACACTACTAAAACTTAAACAGAAAGAAAGAAAATTTGAGGGGTGCCTGGGTGACTCAGTGAGTTGGGCATCCGACTTCAGCTCAGGTCATGATCTTGCAGTTCATGGGTCCGAGCCCCACGTCGGGCTCTGTGCTGACAACTCCGAGCCTGGAGCCTGCTTCAAATTCTGTGTCTTCTTCTCTCTCTGCCTCTCCTCCACTCACGCTCTGTCTCTCTCTCTCAAAAATAAAACAAACATTTAAAAAAAAAAAAGAAAGAAAGAAAATTTAAACAGGCCCATAACCAGCAAAGAAACTGAATCAGTTATCAAAAAAATGTCCCCACAAGTAAGAGTCCTGGGCCAGATAGCTTCCCAGGGGAATTCTACCAGACATTTAAAGATGAGTTAAATACCTATTTTTCTCAAACATTTCCAAAAAAATAGAAATGGAAGGAAAACTTCCAAACTCATTCTCTGAAGCCAGCATTACCTTGATTCCAAACCAGACAAAGACCCCATTAAAAAGGAGAATTATAGGCTAAGATCCTTGATGAACATGGATGCAAAACTTCTCAACAAGATACTAGCAAATTGAATTCAACAGTATATGAAAAGAATTATTCACCATTATCAAGTGGGATTTACTTCTGGGCTGTGGTACTGGTTCAACATTTGCAAATCAATAAACATGATACACCACATTAATAAAAGAAAGGATAAGAACCATATGATCCTGTCAATAGATGCAGAAAAAACATCTGACAAAATACAACATCCTTTCTTGATAAAAATCCTCAAGAAAGTAGGAATAGAAGGAACATACCTCAAGATCATATAGGCCATATATGAAAGACCCACTGCTAATATCATCCTCAGCAGGGAAAAACTGACACCTTTTCCCCTATGGTCAGGAACATGACAGGGATGTCCACTCTCACCACTGATATTCAACATAGTGTTGGAAGTCCTAGCCTTAGTAATCAGACAACAAAAAGAAGTAAAAGGCATCTAAATTGGCAAGGAAGAAGTCAAACTTTCATTCTTCGGAGATGACACGATACTCTACATGGAACCCCTGAAAGATTCCACAAAAAAACTGCCAGAGTTTATATATGAATCCAGCAAAGTTGCAGGATATAAAATCAATATACAGAAATCAGTTGCATTTCTATACAACAATAATGGAGCAGAAGAGATATCAAGGAATCAATCCCATTTACAATTGCACCAAAACTCATAAGAAACCTAGGAAAAAACCCAGGTAAAAAGAGGTAAAAGATCTGTATGCTGAAAACTATAGAAAGCTTATGAAAGAAGTTGAAGAAGACACAAAGATATGGGAAAAAATTCCATGCTCATGAATTGGAAGACTATTGTTAAAATGTTGACACTACCTACAGCAATCTACACATTCATTGCAATCCCTATCAAAATAACACCAGCATTCTTCACAGCTAGAAAAACAATCCTAACATTTGTATGGAACCAGAAAACACCCTGAATAGCCAAAGTCATGTTGAAAAAGAAAACCAAAGCTGGAGGCATAATCCCAGACTTTAAGCTGTATTACAAAGCTGAAATCATCAAGACAGTATGGTATTGGCACAAAAACAGACACAAAGATCAATGGAACACAATACAGAACCCAGAAATGGACCCACAAAGATATGGCCAACTAGTCTTTGACAAAGCAGGAAAGAGTATCCCATGGAAAAAAGACAGTCTCTTCAGCAAATGGTGCTGGGAGAACTGGACAGCAACATGCAGAAGAGTGAAACTGGACCACTTTCTTACACCATACAAAAAACAATTCAAAATGCGTGAAAGACCTAAATGTGAGATAGGAAACTATCAAAATCCTACAGGAGAAAACAGGCAGCAACCTCTTTGACCTAGGCTGCAGCAACTTCTTGATATGTCTCCAGAGGCGAGGGAAACAAAAGCAAAAATGAGTCATTGGGACCTCATCAAGATAAAAAGCCTCTGCACAGCAAAGGAAACAATAAAACTAAAAGGTATGGACAGAAGGGAAGATATTTGCAAATGACATCTTGAATAAAGGATTAGTATCTGAAATCTATAAAGAACTTACCAACCTCAACACCCCCCCAAAAAAAAAAAAAAAAATACTCCAGCGAAGAAATGGGCAGAAGACATGAACAGGCACTTTTCCAAAGAAGATATCCAAATGGCTAACAGACACAGGAAAAGATACCCAACATCACTCATCATCAGGGAAATACAAATCAAAACCACAAAGAGATACCACCTTACACCAGTCAGTGTGACTAAAATTAACAACTCAGGACACAACAGGTGTTGGTGAGGATGTGGAGAAAAGGGAACCTCTGGCACTGTTGGTGGGAATGCAAACCTGTGCAGCCACTCTGGAAAACAGTATGGAGTTTCCTCAAAAAATTAAAAATAGAACTACCCTATGATCCATCGACCGCACTACAAGATATTTATCCAAAGGATACAAAAATGCTGATTTGAAGGAGCACATGTGCCCCAATGTTTACAGCAGCACTATCAATAGCCAAACTATGGAAACAGCCCAAATGTCCATTGACTGATGAATACAGGAAGATGATGTGGTACCTATATACAATGGAATACTACTCGGCCATGAAAAAGAATGAGATTTTTCCATTTGCAACAACATGGATGGAACTAGAGTATATTTTGCTAAGCAAAATAAGTCAGTCAGGGAAAGACAGATAACATATGATTCACTCCCATGTGAAATTTGAGAAACACAACAGATGAACATAGGGGAAGGGAAGAAAAAATAAGATAGAAACAGAGAGGGAGGCAAACCATAAGAGACCCCTGAATACAGAGAACAAACTGAGGGTGGCTGGAGGGGAGGTGGGTGGGAGGATGGGTTGAATGGGTGATGGGCATTAAGGAGGGCATTGTGGGGATGGGCAGTGAGTGTCATATGTAAGAGATGAATTACTGGGCTCTGCTCCTGAAGACAAGACTACACTGTATGTTAACTAATTGAATTTAAAAAAAAGGAGGGGGCACCTGGGCAGCTCAGTGAGTTGAGCATTCGACTTTGGCTCAGGTCTGATCTCACCCTTTGTGAGTTTGAGCCCTGCATTGGGCTCTGTGCTGACAGCTCAGAGCCAGGAACCCGCTTCAGATTCTGTGTCCTCCTATCTCTCTGACCCTTCCCCATTCACACTCTGTGTCTCTTTTTCTCAAAAAATAAATAAACATTAAAAATTTTTTTTTAATTTTTTTTTTTTCAAACGTTTTTTTTTATTTATTTTTGGGACAGAGAGAGACAGAGCATGAACGGGCGAGGGGCAGAGAGAGAGGGAGACACAGAATCGGAAACAGGCTCCAGGCTCTGAGCCATCAGCCCAGAGCCCGACGCGGGGCTCGAACTCACGGACCGCGAGATCGTGACCTGGCTGAAGTCGGACGCTTAACCGACTGCGCCACCCAGGCGCCCCAAACATTAAAAATTTTTAAAAAAAAATTCGGACTCCCTAATCCTTTTCTCAGATTCAGGGATTTAACCTCTTCTCTGCCATGTAAGAAGTAAGCGGTGGAGTGGTTGGGGAACCAGTTCTTGGAAGTCTTACCTCATACAGAATTAATCGTTTCCTGGATTAATCCCCAACACACTAGGAAGGAAGCCTCACTTTTCCAGTCCCTTCTCCATTTCCTTTCTCTCTTATAGGGACTCATGTACCTGACATTCTTTGCCAGGTTTCCTATATTCTTCCCCATTGGTCCTGTCATGACATCCTATGCAATGCTCAGAAATCCAAAAAGTAAGAGTCCTCTTGGGTTGATGGAGACAACCATACTGGTTCCTATGCAAAATGTGGCTGGGGGAACTAGAATTCTGACCTAAGTCACTGGTACTAGATTAGAAACAAAAGGAGTCAGACAGCAATAAACTCTCCCAGTTCTTTTATTTTGTGTAAATTTCATGACCACAAAGCCTATACTGACATTCTTTCTCTCTTTTAAACAGAGATTAAGGATGCAGTTAAGAGTTCACTCTATTAACACTGATGCCATGGAAATTTCTTTTTAAAAATGAGGTATTTGGTTTACTGTCCCAAACAGTAAATGTTTGGACAAACTGCAGAAATGATCTAGCAAGTAATAAAATGAAAGTGAATACATTCAAACATAAAACAGAAATAGCATCTGGCAATAGTTGCTGTGACACCCTGAGAATCTTTACTGTAGTCAAAATAAACCTATGCACCTTAAAACTGTAAAAGCAAAACCAGCGTGATTTTTCCTAAGGGCTTACGCTTCTACTCAGAAAAGACAGTGAGAATGAGGAGGTGGTGAATATGAAAAAAGATAAAGATCATTGCCCCCTTTTCCACTCTAATCAAAATTACTTATTAACGGACCTCCATTTCCCTTTTTTTCCCCCCAAATTATCTTAGGAAAACATTTAGAATTACAGCAATAACACCATTTACAAGTGAATTTATGTGGAATTGTTGTCAAAGTTGAAAATACCACAAAAGATCTTGAGAAAACATTGAGTATTTCACATAAAAAACTGAACAATCAAATTAGCCAGGCCCAAAATGATGATGAAAACGTGAAAGATTAATTTCGGCCATGTCAGACGGTCTTCTTGGTGGAGGGAAATTATATAGATGAGAGATGGGTATATGAATACAAAGGCCAGGCCACATGCTGCTCCTGAATACCTGTGAAATAAAAACTTTTTGGATTAATATTAATCTTGCATTTTGTTTTTGCTGATTTACAATTAAGGTAAATATAGTACCATTTAAACCCTCTTTAGTCTAATAAGGCAACAAAATTATTTTTGATTTAAGTGTTGTAGACATAATGCATGTCAGTTGAAAACATTTTACTTGCTAAGCTAATATAAAATATTATTTCCTGTTCATCTTTATAGCATCTGCTTGACAGAGTTTTTTATGCATCTCTCCAATCTCCATAGTTCTTCTATGTCTCCATGTTTGTGGCTGCTTCCTCAGAAACATCTGGAGACAGGCTTCCTATCTTTGATCTTTTATAAACTAATTATGCATTCTGAGTCTTTGAAGGACTGCTAGCATCTGCTTGAGAAGGAGAACAGATGAGTATCTCTGTGGTGTTCAGCATAATTATCAAAGATAGTAACAAAAATACCTCAACAAAAGACTGTCAGATCCACACTTTCTTCTTCTTTACCCTATCCTTAGCTTAACAGAAACTTGAAAATCCATTATATTCAATAAGCATCAGGCCAATGCTCTCTCCTGATTCTTGCTACTTTCTTAGGTAAGGGTCTTCAAAAAAGTGACTCAGCCCTGCTTTCTATAGTCAAGGAAGAGAAATCAGCCCAGTATTCCATGAGAATTTGAGGTCACAACTTCACTCCCCATCTATTCAACCCTTCACAACATTTTTAGAGAAAATATATTAAGTAAAGAGCCATATGGGATCTAAACTCCCATCTCAACTCTTACTCTCTGACTGCAACTCATAGTGAAACACGTTCTTGAGTAGAAATGGATTTAAAAACTTAGAACACAGCCTTAACATACTAGAGATCTTCAGGTACTCCAAGAAGTTATAGATTTTATATAAAAATTTTTTTATCTTGTATAAAGAGAAAAAGGTATAAAAGAAAAAGAGAAGGGGAAAGATGCCCAAGGGATAATGGGGCTTCTAGAATCAGGAAGAAGCAGTGATGGAAGATCATGAGCACTTTGACAGCAGAGAACTACATTTGAATGTTACCAGTTTTAAATACAATAATTTCATATAATTAAATTAACAACAACAACAATATCAACAGGAAAACCATAAAAATAAAGGCCAATATATGAAGGGACAGAGTTTCCTTACAGGCTGTACCTTATGATTCCTCCTATGTTTGGGTAGAAACAGGCCATGATTACTCCAGCTCCCACAATAATTAGATTAAGAATCAGCACGTGGAAAATGCTAGAAGTTGAGGAGTTTGGAAGAAAAGATAAAAATAAAAACCGGCAAATTATAACCATTAATATGAGAATAAAATTCATTACTAATATTTTTAAAATGAAAACGTCTTAAACTTGACAATAAAATCGCAGGAAAAATTGAAGGCAATGATAGTACTCAATGATAGTGACGGGACAGTGACCTTGCTCCTTTTGTATAAATATATGAATAGGTTAAGATTTGTCAGAACAAACTAGTGTGTATCAGAGTTCACACCCTTTGGTCCATAATTGCATTTGGAATTTCTTAATAAACAAAAATATGAAAAAAGCCATTAACTTCAAGATATTTGTGGCAAAACCAGAAGTATCCTAGATATACAGCAAGGTAATAATTTACCTGATGGGATATATTAAAAAGTATTCAAAATAACTTATTATTGTTACCTAGATGGTAAAAAGTCATCTAGACAACTTGGAAAAAGCTAGCTAGATTTTTACTACAGAAAATCTGAAAACATTTGAAAAGATATCAAAAGGAACTATACTAAAAAGGCAGTAATAATTGTGTTATGATTTGGGATTTGGAGTAATTTTGCCCCTTTTCTGTATTTAACAAACTTTCTATGTGTTTTTCCATAAAGTATTTATTTACTTTAAGGGAAAAGGCAAAATGGGCAGGTTTTCATCCTTCAGGTTCAGTCACTTAAAGATATTCAGTGAATAGAAAATAATGAATAGAAAAATAATGTAGGGGTGCCTGGATCGCCCAGTTGGTTAAGCATCCAACTCCTGATTTTGGCTCAGGTCATGATCTCACAGTTCTTGAGTTCAAGCCCCACATCAGGTTTGTGCTAACAGCGTGGAGCCTGCTTGGGATTCTCTCTCTCCCTTTTTCTCTGTCCCTCCCATGCATGTGCTCTCTCTCACTCTCTCTCAAAATAAATAAATAAACTTAAAGAAAAAGAAAAAGAATGGACATAAAATTTGATGCTCAAGAAATAACTCCATTTCCCAAAAAGTTGATTCTTAAAAGCCAAATTTATACCTTAAAGTAACCTTGTGAGCCCAGGTTATCAGAAGGTAATTAAAACCCGATAAAGATTATAGAGAATAAGGAAAAATATTTACACAAATAAGCAGTCCTACATCCTCATGAATTACAAAGATATTCAGGCTTCCAGATCTTATTATTTATCTAGAAACTCCAACTTTAAAAATTGCTCCAGAGCTTTGAAACAATGGCTCTTTTGTTATTTCTGTGTTATAAAAGGAAACAACGTTGTGTATTTTCCAAAGAAGTGGTTCTGAGTGTAACCACAAACCCCAGGGAAGTTCCCAATACCTTTTCAGGAAGTCACTGAGGTAAAAATTAATTTCAAATCATAAAAGACATTACTTGCTTTGCAAAAGCAATTGTAGGTAAAACTGCTGGCCCCTTAGCATGGATAGACAGTTGCACCATTTTGTATTCTATACTGTATGCTTTATTGCAAAACACTCTCAAACAAATAGTCCTTCATAAAAAAGTAAAAGTTACTAGTTTTATTAACTTTCATGTTTTGGACACACACCTTTTTGCTATTCTGTGTCATTAAACAGGAAGTACATAATACAGCTTATCTGCTGCATGGTGAGGTATAATGGTTGTCTTGAGGAAAAGTACTTGTGCAACTGAGCTGGAGAGCAACCTAGCCCTTTTTTCCAACGAATGCTATTTTTATGTGAAAGGCAGACAAACTGGTTCTTCAGACTCGGATGTTAGACAGACATTTTCTTTTTCTTTTTTTTAATTTTTTTTTTTTTGACGTTTATTTATTTTTGAGACAGAGAGAGACAGAGCATGAACGGGGGAGGGTCATAGAGAGAGGGAGACACAGAATCAGAAACAGGCTCCAGGCTCTGAGTGGTCAGCACAGAGCCTGACGCAGGGCTCGAACTCACGGACTGTGAGATCATGACCTGAGCCGAAGTCGGCGGCTTAACCGACTGAGCCACCCAGGCGCCCCGACAGACATTTCCTTAAAAACGAAAGCTTATGATCTTGTCACTTCAAGGAAAACATGTGTATGTGTTGTCAATGATAAAATTTGAGCTTTCAAGTAAAAATTAGAATTTTGGACAGCTTGTACTTGCCACCCTCAGTTTGACAGTTTTTCAATATTTAAAGAGGTTTATAATGAAATTGGTGGCAATATTACGAAAGTGGGTTTTGATATTATAAGGAAGTGTGTCAACATTTGGAAGATCTGCAGAAATCAGTGAAATGATATTTTCCAGGTGACTAAACATGATGTTACAAAAACATCACGGGTAAAGGATCTAAAGTGTAAGACAGACCAATGGGTTTTAATATACTGAATTTCTGATTTGACTAACTTATAGGAAACTACCACTTGTTAAAATTTGGCAAAGTATCAAAGAAGAATATCCACAATAGTTTGAAAAGGCTATTAAAAGACTGCTTTTCCAACATGTCTATGTGAGGGTAGATTTTCTTCATAGATTTTAATGAAAACAACATATTTTAACAGACTGAATGCAGAAGATAGGAGAATCCAATTATCTTCTAGCAAATCAGAGTTTTGAAAATGTGGGGTGTCTTGCTGGCTTAGTTGGAAGAGCATGTGACTCTTGGTTTCAGGCTTGTGAATTCAAGCCGCATGTGGGGTGTAGAAATTACTTAAATAAATAAAACTTTAAAAAGTTTGGAAAATGTAAAATAAAAGTTTTTTGGGAAACAATTATTTTTCATAAATATGTTATTTTAAAACAAGTAATAGTTTTATATTATTGCTTTTTAAAAATATTTTATTTAATGCTTATTTACTTTTGGGGGGTGTAGAGGTAGAGAGAAGGAGACACAGAATCTGAAGCAGGCTCCAAGATCTGAGCTGTCAGCACAGAGCCCGACATGGGGCTCAAATTCACGGAGTATGAGATCATAACCTGAGCCGAAGCTGGACGCTCAACCGACTGAATCACCCAGGCACCCTATTAATGTTTTTTAAATAAATTCATTAATATTTAAAAATTTTTCAGTTTTAATTTTTCATATGTTAAATATTGATAGATATAACTCACAAAAGGTAAATAAAGTTCCTGGGGGTTCTCAATAAACTTTAAGAGTATAAAGGAGGTACTGAGCTCAAAAAAGTATGCTCTGAATCATGCAGTCTGTAGAGGACTTGTAACTGCAGGATAAATGGTAGTGTGTTCCTGGTGGTAGAGAAAGAAATGCAATGTGAACATGAAAGGGAAATTTCAGACTATTTCCAAGAAGAAAAAACATTCTAATAGCCACCATTATGCAAAATAATGGCAGAAAACAGGAATAATTCATTTACCTAGAATTTTTTTCATCTATGTCTTCATTGTATTTGTTTTATTATGGTGAATGTAAATACAACGCAGGGTATAAACACAATAGGAGTCTTGTATGTACTGAAATCCAACCTTCAAGATGAGCAATGTTAGAACTGTAGCTATTGCTACTATCAATGCTAGAGACCTGGTACCTCTGGACTTTTGCTTTCATAGATTTTTTATTTTTAAACAAACATATTTATATTAATTATTTAGTTAATGAGGGAAAATACTGCATTAGTTCACTTTGGAGAAGAACTGATGAAGACTTGTTTTAGCTGGTTACTGTAAATGTAATTACAAAATTTTTTGTATGAAAGTTTTCTTCATTTAAGACCATTTATTTCAAGTAAAATAGGTTAGGACTAGGTACTTTTTACGAGGATGAATCTATACTAAAACTTAATGTTAGCAGGAGTTAACCAGGAATCCAGCATGAAGTTCTAGGGAAACACTGAAGCAGTTTATGAAAATTTCTCTTGGATGAGGGTAATTAGCTTTGAACAGATTTTCAAAAGGACTCAAAACTGCTCTATCACCAATAAGAGACTGAAAACTATAGCAGTAGTTACAGGAACAAATAGGAATTTAAACTTGTTATATATCTCACCTTCACTTCTAAACAATTATGATTTATGTAAAAATGCATTAATGTTAGGGGCACCTGGTGGCTCAGTCGTTTGAGCATCCGACTTTAGCTCAGGTCATGATCTCACAGTTCATGCATGAGTTTGAGCCCTGTGTCGGATTCTGTGCTAACATCTCAGGGCCTGGAGGCTGCTTTGTATTCTGTGTCTCCCTCTCTCTCTGCCCCTCCCTGGCTCATGCTCCGTCTCTCTCTCTCTTTTTCTGTCTCAAGAATAAACATTAAAAAAATTTTTTTAATGCATGAATGTTAATAAATATATGAGTAAATATTAATAATCAATAACTAAATAAAAGAGTTGCTTCTCATTAGCCATACATTGCCAATACAGGTACTATATACTATTAACTTCCTGGCAATGTGTAAATAAATTGGCAGCTAAAACGTAAGATAAACATAACTGATATCAGAGCTAACGTAACTAAACTAGAGGGGATTATCTTTATTTATTTATTAAAAAAAATTTTTTTTGATGTTTATTTATTTTTGAGAGAGAGAGACAGAGTGTGAGTGGGGGAAGGGCAGAGAGAGATAGGGAGACACAGAATCAGAAGCAGGCTCCAGGCTCCGAGCTGTCAGCACAGAGCCTGATGTGGGGCTTGAACTCACGAACCTTGAGATCATGACCTGAGCTGAAGTCAGATGCTTAACCTACTGAGCCACCCAGGCGCCCCGAGGGGATTATCTTTAAATCAATCTGGACAAGGAAGTAGCTTCTAATTTTAAAGCTCTTCAGGGAAAAGAACACCAGTGACCTATCTTTAGTAACCATTTTCATTAGGCAAATTTTTATAGCAAAAGGATCAGTCACATTTTAAACTGACCTGTTTGCACAGTCATTTGTTGCTTGGCACATCTTGCTGGCCAACAGAAGAGGAGCCCTTACCTAGGATAAATGTCACCGAAGACATGGCCCAATAGCTGAACTCGAGCCAAATAGCCTAGGAGTGGGTATACAGTCATCATCTGGAACAGCAGGAATATCCTTGCAATGAAGGACAGGACGTCACTGCTAGGGAAGTTGTCTAAAAAATTCTAATCCAAGAAAGATAATGAAGTAATGTTAAAAATCAATTCAGTATATACAAATTTATATAATGGAATGTCTGTTTTTTTTGGAACATAGGTGCAACTCAAATTGTGGTTTGCTCATCCACAAACTGTTTACATTAACTATTATTCTTCAATGAACCAAGTACAGAAATTGAAATAAGTGTTTAGAAACTTTGATACAAATTTGACATTGCCGCATTTTTATTCAGTTTTACAAAAGTATCAGTCTTCAATTGATTTGACATTAAAACAAATGACAAAGAAACCTTCCCCTTCGCTCTGGATCACCTTGTATCATTACTATTTGCAGGCTATAACTAAAAGAAGGATTTATTTTTATTTCCTTTCATGATTTTATCCATTTTAGTTTGGCATCTAAAAAAAAGTTAATCAGAATTTTTTTTTTTAATTTTCAAATAAGAATACCATAGCTATTCCTATTCCCAAGGGAGTGGCCTTTATATGGGATTGTTCACATTGGGGGAATTTTCAGCAAGCATCTTCCTGCCAAAGAACTTCTGGAATCAAGGAAATCAAAAGAAGAACATTTCAAGCTATCATAACAGTAATAACTCAAACTTATTTCTCTTATAAAGATGAGAACATTATTAATGTTATTATACTGAAATAACTCTTATAATTCATCCATAATAAATCACACTGTATATTCCACAACACTCTTACTGGAGGAATTTCTTATTGGAGGAATTGGAGACTAGAAAAAAAGCCATCTGTAAAATGCTATTTTTGTGAGAAATCTGTCAGTCACATTAAACTAGAAACTATACTATTCCTAAATTTATGATAGGCCAAATCAAATAAAGTATTACTTATAGCAACTTTTTTGTAATTTTTTCCTTTTATTCATTCTGTCTTTCCCTCTCTTTTTAATGGTTAAATAGTCTTTCTTTGTTTTACTGGCTGCTATGCAGTACAAAATGAGTGTTAGACCTATTATTGGGGACTGATGAGCAAAGACATCAGATTATCCAGGACATTTCCAGATCTGGGCTTTGCAAAATAAGGAGATTGAATGTATTCTCAATGGAGGTTTTATAAATTCATGAATAGCACTAGTAACAGTTTTCCAAACAATAATAATAGTATGCACACAATAGGAATCATCTATTTGAGTACCAAAAGAGGCCAGCATACAGTATGCTTTCTCAAGAATCTCTTTAAAAATCTATGGTGTATGTATTATACTGCTTCATGGGATAGAAAACTGAAGTTAGGAAAGGATAGGGAAGGTGCCTAAATTCTCACATGTACAGTAAATAGTAGAGATGGTACTCAAACCCAGGTCTGTCTGGTATTGTATCTTGCTACTGTCTCACCCTGCCTGCTTTGCAGATATGAATGTATAAACAATCACAAAGAGAGGGTACCTAGTGCCTTACCTGCTCTATGCAATCTTTGGTTAATGGTGGTGAAGGAAATGAAGCAAAAACCAGGACTCCAATATAGAGGTAGGTTAATGTCACCAGCATATAAGCAATGGACAAGTCTCTCACCTGTAAAAAGAGAACAAAATTCCCATGATACTGAATAAATTTGCAGTTAAGTCTGCCTGAATAGACTAAATAAGAAAACTGACAAATAAATACAAGATTTATCTTTTTGCTATGTGTGTTTGTGTGTATGTGCCTTCCAGGTATCCAATCTGTTCACAGAAACTAAATAAAACAAAATTCACATACTTTACAATTAACCTGACTTTTTTTTTTTTTACTATTTTGGAGTATGCAGATTAAGCTACAAGTTGGCAGATTTAGTAAATTAACGTAAGTGGTGACTCAACAGAAAATTATGACTAATTTCTAAGGTAATTTATTTACCAAATTATAAAAACATTTCACTAAAAATAATAAAGCTAAGGGACAATAAGAAAGCAAAATAAGCCATCTTCAGTATGACCGACAGAATTAAAATTCCTTCTTTTAGTAAAATGACTGTGTTAAACCATCAAAGCATGCCTAGGCTGAAAGAAACTGGTACACATTAAAAAATATATTTAATAAAGAAGAAATGCTAGTTAAAGGGCAGACAGTAAGCAGGTATCAAAGACAAGCTTAATAAACCTAAACAGTAAACAAAAGGAAATCAAAAGGCAGCTGTTCAAACAGCTGCACAATGTTATTATTGGAAGCAGTAAACAAATGCAGCATATTAAATCAAGTGGGTTGCTTTCTTCCACTGCTGCTCCTACCCTCCTGACCTCCTACCCCCATGTGAAGTAAAAAGCTCCAAGATATTTAACGCAGCCAGCTGTCAGATCCAAACAGAACAGATTCCACAGCTCACGAATCTGGTCTCCATCACCACTAAAGTTACAGCCAAACAATTCAGCACAACTAAATCATGGCAAGAAGCCTATTCATTTTTCATTTTAAACACAAATTGCTTTGAAAGCTAAGAAAACAGATAAGAAAAAAATTATATACAATTTTACTTTAGTTTGATAACACTATAAGAAAAGTGAACATTTGGCATTAAGGAACATTACTGATCTTTTGGACGACTCTTTCCTTAAATGGGTTGAGCAATAGTAGAAACTTATAAACTTGAATGTTGATAAATTCACTTAAAAGCAAGTAACAAACTATGAGAAATCCTAATGTTAGGTCTAAGTAGACAATCAACTTGAAAACAAACCAGGATTCTCTACCCTGAACTACATGGTGGACAGGCCTAAGAAGCTACAGGAGCTTAGACTATGCAGGATGATTCTAGCATTCTCAAAAAGCTTCTAACTGTTTAGGGTTGCAGAAGGAGTGGCTTACCAAAACTCCAGGGGGCTTTCAAAGTCTTTCCTCTTTAAAGTTCACGAAGCCTAGGGCCCATTACAGGGTAGCCTTCAGTCACTCCTAAGGTTGTCTCATGGTCTTGTATAAGATGAACAGAAATGAATCTGCCAACTCTAACTTTCATAGCAAAGGGTAGTAGTCTCCTGTTACGATGTTTAAAAGTCCTTCTACCACTGGGGCACCCGGAAGGCTCAGTCAGTTAAGTGACTGACTCCTGGTTTCAGTTTAGGTCATGATCTCGTGGTTCATGAGTTTGAGCACCATATCGGGCTCTGTGCTGACAGTGTGGAGCCTGCTTGGGATCTTCTCTCTCCCTCTCTGCTCCTCCTGCATGTTTGCATGCTCTCTCTCTAAATAAATAAGTAAACTTAAAAGAAAAAAAGTCCTTCTACTTTCAACCTACTCAACACCAGTCAAAAACAGAGGTAGTCTTATAAAATGCAAAATCTCGGGAGGCCAAGATGGCTGTGTCAGAGACAGCTATTCAGTCTTCAGCCTATATAATAGCACCTAATTGCCACATTATTTTGGCCAGGCTTTCTAAAAAGATGTGTACCTTAGTAGACTCTGGGGACAGTCTGATGAAGATGAAAAGTCTAAGATGCAAGAGCTTCCTAAACAGATAGTTTTTCCTTCTGCTTTCCTGTTCTTTTTATTATTATTTTAATTTTCATTTTTAATGTTTATTTTTGAGAGAGACAGAGATAGCATGAGTGGGGAAGGAGCAGAGAGAGACGGGGACACAGAATCCAAAGTAGGCTCCAGGTTCTGAGCTATCAGCACATGGTCCAGTGCAAGGTTTGGACCCACCAACTGTGAAATCATGACCTAAGCTGAAGTCAGACTCTTAACTGACAGAGCCACCCAGGTGCCCCCTGCTTTCCTGTTCTTATAGCACTGAATATATACCTGAAATGCAGTACCCTTTAGAGTATATTGCAGTTGTCATTAGTTTTTATTATAAAAGTAATATATGTTCACAATATGAAAGATCTTAAGTGGAAAGAAAATGTCCCTCAACACCCAAAAAGTAGCCAAGGTTAATGGTTCTTGTATTATGTTGTTATGTTAATTTTTCTATGTATAAGTTGTTCCATATTACTAGATTATGAGATCCCTGAGGACAAGGACTGTGTCTTTTTCATTTTTATATCCTCAATGCCCAGGACAATACGAGGCACACAGGTAGAACCTGGTAAATGGACAGAAAAAATAATAACTAAGCTGGTTATAGTTATTAGGCAGTTATTACATTGGCTAGGTGTTACACTATGCACTAAGCCCTTTATATGTATTATCTCATTAAATGTAAGTATGATACATTTCTTCATTTTATAGATGAGTAAACTAGTGCAGCAAGGTTACAAAACTTGTTCATGGTTACAAAGAAAGTAGCTGGTGAAGTCAGCATTCAAATCAAAGATGTTATGGCTCCAAATTGCATGCCCTTACTACTGCAATGGAGAAATGATCAGTGTTGAATGCGTTTGTGTCGTAGTTAGTAAATAATACAGAGAACAAAGATAAAGAGGTAACAAGTTATGAGTAACAAAGGATACAAATGAATACACACAGAGATGCAAGAGGAATATTAAAATCAGAAAAGCCCATTTTATAGTAGTTGAAATGTACATTCAATAGAACTAGGTCAAGAGTTGCATATCTGTTTTCATCTGAAACTACTCTAAAGAACAAAAAAGATGTTTTAATATGAAAGCAGCTGAGGTTTAGCACGATCCTGGGAAACATGCCACCTATGAATACCATGCACACATGTGGGTTTTGTTATTCTTTGGCTTGAACACAAGCCATCACTGTACTTGGCCTGGAGATATAGCCTCTTAAAAGCCCATTTATTGGAAAAGGGTAGAAAAAAGCTATCTGTTAGGCAAGTCTCAAAGTAAAAAATAGGTTTAAAAAGAGGTACAAATAACAGTATGAGTCCTACACATTAATTAGGTAACCTACTCTGCCTCATGAATGAGCAATGGCTGGCAGGGCGATGGTAGGGAACTAATTAATGATGGGAAGAACGCCACCTCAAAATGAGGACCAGCTTTACAAGGAGGCACAAGTGGTGCTGGAAGCACATTCTGCTTCTCAAATTATGGTTTATAATTTGTTCCACATACTGTTCATAGTGAAAATACTATCCAGTGGAGCATTTGCTAACAAAAATGACAGAAACTGACCACACAGACCTACCCCAGACATTTACATCAAAACTTCTGATGACGTAGTGTTAAGTAAACTGCACAGATTAATATGAAGAAGCAAAAAGTAAATAACAAATTAAGATAGAAGCCATCCCAAATTATTTTTAAAGAACTAGCAGGGTGTGAAACTAAATAAAGACAGGCAAAACAAACAAACAAAAAGCACTGTGTACGTTCTAATTCAAACATCATAAGGAAATACCAAGAGGTTAGTCCACAAATCCAGGATCATTTTCCGGATGGTTACAGAGACTACATATTCTGATGAAAAAGAGTGAGTTGAGGGGTGCCTATGTGGCTCAGTCTGTTAAGCGTCTGACTCTTGATTTCTGCTCAGGTCATGGATCTCATGGTTCACGGGGTTGAGCCCTGACTTGGGCTCTGCGTGGACAGTGTGGAGCCTGCTTGGGATTCTCTCTCTCTCTCTCTCTCTCTCTCTCTCTCTCTCTCTCTCTCTCTCTCTCCCCCTCTCTGCCCATCTCCCGTTCTTGCTCCCTCAAAATAAATACACTTAAAAAAAAAAAAGAAAGAAAGAAAAAGAATGAGTTGGATGATCTTCAACTCTACAACTTTTTTGGTTTTCTTCTGGTAAGGAATGCCCTACTAAAGAATATAAATTATATCCCATTTAGCTACACATAAAAAAAAATTATGTTTAGTGAAAAAAAACCATGAAATTAAATCAAACTTAACAAACCTGAAAAATCTGATCATTACACCTGTTTAGGAGCCTCATTGCTCTCCTTCACAAATGTCTTTGCATCCAAGTCCGACTGTAGTTTATACAGAACAAAATGAGGCCCTTTTATTCTTTTGTCTTCTTCTCTTTCTTTTATTAAAAATTTTTTTTTAATGTTTATTATTTGAGAGAGAGAGAGAGACAGAGCATGAGCGGGGGAGGGGACAGAGACAGAGAGGGAGATACAGAATCTGAAATAGGCTCCAGGCTCTGAGCTGTCAGCATAGAGCCCTACACAGGTCTCAAACTTGGGAACGGTTAGATCATCACCTGAGCCGAAGTCAGATGCTCAACCAACAAGCCACCCAAGAGTCCCCTTCTTCTCTACTTTCAACCCTTCGTTTACTGAGCTCTGAATGACTAACATAATATTAATACTAACAAGTCAGAGTCCCTGACAAGCTTCACATTTTCTGGCTTAAATCTCAAGAAAATAAATCATAATATTAACAGGACTTCTATGAGTTAAATTCCTTACTGAAACCCACTGAAAAGTATAGTCATTAAATAAACCAAATGACCAATTTTTTCTCAGAACACAGTACCCATTTAGCTTAGCTTATGCAAGTATATAAGCTAATTTCAGTATAATCAAAAGGAGAGTATATAATATTTACATGTATTTAAAGTGTTTAGAATTTTGTTGGTACCAAGTGCTTCACAAATGTTTATCGTTAGTAGTTACTAACATTTTAAGAAGTTAACATGAAGTCTGATTTTTTGAAAGCTAGACCACATTTCATACCATAGTT